CTTATGGATCAAAATCTATAAGGCTCCACTGTGCCTGTTTTCCAGCCATAAAAGTTACTGTAAGAGAACGCAGAGTGCATTTGAAAAATGGAAACTTCCCTATTGAGAGCTAAGCATGGCCACGGCTGCTCTGACTGCTGCAGCCTCAGTGGCACACACAGGTAACTGCTCTGAGGGGCTGACTGGTGAGCCCTGCTGCAGAGGCACCCCAAACCACAGGGACCCGTTTCTCAGACACATCAGTGACCAACTTCTTGCAACGCCTGTTACTTCTCAAACTACAATTAATTGTTGCTTTCATTATGAATTCTGAGAGCACCAGGCCTACTAGAGCTACCATACAAACCTGGAAGCCACACAGCACTGTTAGTGCAGCAAAGCATCCGTGGGGGCTGGGACACTTCATGCGCTGCTCCACTTACTTGTAAGCATTTCCTGAATTCTGTTTTATAACCACGAGTGCTTGCTTGCTGCAGAAATTTCGGAATCCAGGCAGTACATACATGGGCGCATTTTCAATGATTAGCATTTGAAAGGTTAAATAAAGCTACCACTATAGTCTGCAAAATATATAAGGTCACAAGAAAGAAGCAGACTTGCCTCCTGTTCTTGTGCAGCAGCCGAAAACCCTTTGTAGGAAGGAGAGTATCACTACCATGCCACTAACAACACTGCCTCCAAGCTAACTGCCACATTTCTTGAAAATGTCAAAAACGACCATTTCTAAATAGCAAATACTTCTAAAGCCTAGACCAAATATTTGTCTGCAGGTCATTTCAGGGGAAAAACAAGAAATACATAGAAAACACCTTAAAGTTGTTTTTACATTTGATTTATGCAGCCCTTTAACTTGGCACTACTTGGCCACTTCATTCCCCTTACCTGACCTTAGTCAGAAAAACAGCACAGAGCAGCAAATGGTTTTCTTCAAAGCTGAATCTATTCTTAAAGAAAGACAAAGGCATCAAACGGGTATGACGCTGTGCAGTGAGCTTGGGAAGGTGGGATGGGAGAGGGGGGGGATGTGGGGAACCCCCAGGAGCTGGAGCACATGGAATGGGGAAGGAGATGTGAGCTGTCCTGCTTGGGCAGCACAAAGGGGATGCTGCTCTGTAAACAGCACTTGCCAGTCATGTTTGCTTTTTCTAGGATGATCTCAGTTGAACAGACTCACGATTGCAAAGAGGAACATAAAAGAAACCATCCTGCAGCCTGTACATAATGGGTTTGAGCAAAGCTTCTAATCTTTATGCAAGCAATGCTACACGTGTGCTGAGAAAGACATTCAAACACTGTAGTCCATAGAAAATGTACATGGAAAAAAGATGCTTCCAATTTTTGCACTTCAGTGCCAATCAAATGACCCTCACAGTAAACATGGAAAACCAGCTCTGACAGCCACAGCACATTCACAGTGATAAGAGCACTGGCTACAGTAACAGAAATCACACCAAAACAGTTCCTTCCTTCAGTCCGACCTGGACAAGTGAGGGAGATGCAGTGATACACAAGTACTTACTTGTCTGTGTACAGGTTCAGGGGAAATTGAGGAAAGAAGATGCAAGCAATGAGGCTGCAAGGTTATCCTCCACCAGCCATATCTGGCACAATCCTGATGCTAGAGCAGCTGTGCAAGCTACAGAACACAGTGCACAGCACTGAGCTACCTGTCAAAATCATTTTTATTTACTTCAAAAGTGAAGGTTTCTTTTTAGTTGACTTTTTAAGGCATGCATAAGACTTGGTTGTTGTTGTTGCTCTGTTCTGCAGTGAGTATTTAGAACCCAAAAGAAAGCTCTAATGTCCGTTCATGAGAACACACTCTGACACTAAAGGCTTTGATCGCTGCTGTGAACTGCATGATGAAATTGCAAGGCAGTGCACAATGGTCAACTACATTGGCCAGTTTCACCTAAATACTAAAATTTAGATCTATGAAGTCCCAGACTTGGAGACTGAGCAAACATCATTGTTGAAGGGTGCTCAAAGACTCCAAAAGTCCCTCACTCAAAAAACAAATCTTAAAAATGTTTGCATTAGCTCTAAATAAACTTTTCAAAAATAACATTTGATTTCTAGAGTGAACTTTGCAATAAGACAACATCCTATATAACAGACCTCATATATGCTGCCCTCCTTCTTTATAGTTAGTAAATATCTCCCTTTGTCTAACTACACTCTGGTTATTTACCTCTTCAGGAGTTATAGATATTTTCATGCTACCTATCTGCCAAATAATCACATTCGTATTTCCACTGAGGAGTCATCCATAAACAACAGTATCATTCATGCACAATCACCATAAACTCAGCCCTCCCACTGACGTGAATTTATAATCATTTCACTGACATCAACCACCCTCCCAATCAATTAGCAACCAAATCACTCACATGCACAACATAAATGAAAACATGATCTGCTCAACCACATTAGGCTCCATCAGCAATCTATAATCAATAAAAACTAATCAGATTATAATTAGTCTTACAAAAGAATTTTTCCAGCAAATAATACAAGTCCACCTACAGAAAACACAGGTTTAGCTATGCTGTAGGAAGAAACACTGTCTTTGAACAAGGACCCCCATCCAGAGGTCACGGGTGTTAACAGCACTGTATGACCTGCAGCACTGCTGGTACAACTGCTGATGAATACAGGAGAGAAAAGCTCCTGGCTTGGTAACAAGGAGTACCCATAGGCCAACAATTTAACATGCTCCAATTATGAAATATTGGGTAGAATGACACGGGTCACAAACCACAAGAGTAAAGCCAAGTATGCTTGTGTTTCCCAGGGGCAAAACATGCTATTGAGAAATCCATCCACAGAATGACACAGTGACCCCATCTCAGTCTATTTTCTGTCTGAAAAGAAATAAAAACAAACAGATTTCCCTGAAAATCCGACTTATATCTCACGTATTATAACAGCCAGACACTTTGCAGAAGTGCAGTGCACTGCCTACAGGCAGGCTACTGATTTATTGCTGCTATCTGGGCTTTGTTTTATTTCTAACCGTGCTTTCCTGCAAGCCTTCAACCTCTTCTAGGGAGCACTAATCACATAAAATCAGGATCTGTACAATAACAACAAAACAACCAGGATTTATCAGTATAAGTCAAGGGGCACTGCCTATGTCCTAACAAGTCTTGTGAGCTGCCAGGGTTAGATGGTTTCACCAGCAGCATCAACCTTCATTCTCAGAGATTGAGACTACGAAGTACAATTTTCTATTTTATTAAACAAAACAGGTAGACTGGTAAGGACTAACCAATGAAAAAGCTCATGATTTAACTCAATTTATCATGCCAAAAGCAAGTAATTATTATTATCAAGGGAAAATAGGCCTCCTTAAAAGCTTAGTCATGAAACTTCCTAAAATATCAAATACCTTTAAAGTACACAAGGATGGCTTTTTGTTGTTGTTAACAACAAACTCTCGAGAACGTTATGCTTTTCAGGTATGTAATCCTGATTCTACCAAACTTTGGAGTCAGGTTCAAGGAAACAAGAGCAGACTCAGACACCTTGACATCGTAAGGTAAGTTTTCAGCAGTAACCACTCAGCTGCAGTGTTTTCAGTCCAGAAGACTGACACACTTAACTCTTTGGAAAATCCCATCAGTTATTTGGGAACTATCGAACTTCTGAAGATCTAGCAATATTTGAGAGTTAACTTCAAAACCTCTCTAGCCCTTGGCGTCTCCAACTGTGTGACAGCAGGAACTACAGTAAAGTAGCTGTGTCTGAAAGATCCACTTCCATATAAAATACAAATCCAAAATGGCAGATGGTCACAAGCAAAACACAAGTACTTTACTACTAGATGAACCACAGACCATCCCAACTTACCTGCTACTAAATGCTACAATTGCATATATACTTTCCTTCTTAAGAAAGCTAATGAGAATAATCATCTTTGGTGTATTATCACTGATTCTTTGTTACATTAGCATGAAGAATAGCCTCCAAAAATCCCTCAGCTTGCACAGAAACACAATCTAATTTGTTACACAAATCTGCAGAAGAAAATTGAACAGCTCTTACAAAGAAAAGGATCCACTGCCTCCAAATCATCATCAGGGAAACTAATAAACATCTGAAATCTGAAGTAATGCCTCAAGTTAAGAGAATACTCTGAAAAACAGTGCTTGCTTAAATTGTCTCACAGCAGGGTTCTCTGTGTTTTACTTAACTTTCCGATAGTTTCACTTTTAGTTGAGAAAGTTCAGGCACAAAATAATTAACGCGTGCCACACCTTGGGTTTCAGAACGTGCAGTCTTAACTCAGTGCCACTGCTTGCCTTGATGGGGCAGAACTTTGCTGCAGCTTTCCACCAAAGGCACTGGAGCTTTCCCCTATTGCTCGCTTCAGAAGGATGGTGGCTTTCTCCCGCTCCTGGTCTCCAAAGGCACAAATTACACAAAGCAAACTACAAAGTGTGAAATGACCCTGAAATCACACAGAAGAACTTTCTACTCCAGAGGCACCATTATGGATTTTCACAGAACTGCCAAGCATTTGTTACCGGGCATAGAGACATCATCACATTACGCTGCTGTCAGCATCTGCCTGATCAACAACACAGGATCATTATGTTGGAAAAGACCTCTAAGTTCATCTAGTCCAACAGTTCACCTACAGCCAGTATTGCCTACTAAACCCTGTTTCTCAGTACCACATCTCCATGGTTCTTGAGCACTTCCAGGGACGGTGACTCTGCCACCTCCCTGGGCAGCCTGTGCCAGTGCCTCAACACTCTTTCCAAGAAGAAAAACACAGTGCTACCTCATTTTTCTGATGTAACTCCCTGAATCTGCATGCTTCAGTCTTAAAAGTAAGAAAAAATCATTCTACCATGTACCTCATCCTACAGACTGATGAGAATCAGTCATCCTCTATACACACCAAGGAATAAGTCCTGCTCTCCCCTATTTATATTTGACCTGTAATCTCATAACAGTTTTGTAGTAGAGATGGAAGACAGAGGAATACTCACACAGCTCAGCCTTTGCATTTCTCCTCGATTCACTCGCCTAATGGTCTTTCTCTTCTTCCGCAGCTCACTGGGCTCCCTTCTGAAAACCCGTCCTCGAAAGCTCATTGTATCAGTAGGAATTCAAGCAGCAAACAAATTGCTCTTAAAAAACTGCGCCCCTGTAACCTCTGTGCTTCAGCAGCTTCAGTGCAACAAATGAAAGCTACTGATACCACTCGATGGGGAAGTATGGCTAAAACTTACACGCTGTATCCACAGAAACTGAACAGAAAGAAGAAAGCCTGCAATAACTCATTTCTTCCTGTGAATAATGTTCTACTAAGGCAACAGTGTCTCATTAAACCATAAATACACCCTCCCCACACCCCCCTGGCTCTTATGCAAATCAAAATAGGAAGTTGTAGGAAAAAAGCTTGCAACTGAACGTCTGCCTCTACCTCAAAAACCATTACATCCTTTCTCCTCCCTGATTCGAAAGTCAAAATGGCTGCATTCTTCTTTCATGCACACGTATGCCTCCATGCAAAGAAGCTCCTCATTAAATGGTGATCTGTTGCAGTGCAGGTAAGCAGGCCATGAACACAGGCCTGGCAGAGCACGTAGGTGCTGCTCAGGCCTGGGATCTGCCTTCCTTTGTATCAAGGTAACAGTTCCCCTTTCAAATCAGTGCAAATACCAGTACGAGGAAGCACTCTGCAAACTTATGCATCCGCAGACAGCTGCAAAATGAAAAAAAAATGGGGCGAAGTTCAAAATATATTTTGACCTGTAAAACCCGGTTTTGTAGTCACCTGCCAAAAGGACAGCTCACCGTGTATCTGCCTGGTGGAACCAACACTGCAGTACCCAGGAGCCATCAGTGCAGGTCCCTCAAGACAGCTACGTGCCCCCCTGCCCTGCATGGAACAGGACAGCCTGCCTGCTGCTGCTGAGATGGGGCTGCCCAAGGTCAGCTGTCTGCAGGCTGACAATGCATAAAGGTCTTAGACAACCAAACAAACCTCCTCAGTGCCCACACACGTGCACGTGCACACACGGCCCTTTCTATTCTCCTTTGTTCAGAAGAGGGCTCAGCCAGCTGGGGTAGCAGAGCTGTATTTCCCTCTGCAGACCATCTCTGTGGGATGTCCACTAGTCTTATGTTCAGTTAATCTTAGTCTGTGTAACCAAGAGAATAAACCGTTTTTCTACTTTTTCATTCCAGATATTTCACATATTAAGCTATAAGCATCTTTTTCATAACTAATTTTAGTTAAGTATTCAGAGATCTGCAACATTGCCCTGAGTACTGTCTTTTTTTTGTTGTTGTTGTTGTTTTTTCCCCTCTTTGAGCAAATAGTTGGGAATTCCAGTAACTCTTTCAGGCATTTTAACATTTGATCCGTGGTAACAGACCTCTGCAAAATTTCCACATGGTTGTTCCACAGGCAGAATGCCAGGGACCTGGACATACTGAGCACAGCATATATAACCTGAGCACTACATAATCGTATCCGTTCCATGATTGCTTCTAAATTTAAAGTACAGTGCACAAATTCCATGAATTAAAAAGATACACCAACATTATCTTCACCTCTCAGCTTTGTGTTTGAGATCATCATCTCCTTGAAACTGAATTTCAGCAGTCATACAGCAGGCTGGTAAAGACAGATTTCACTGTGCTCCTACTTAGCAGTGAAAAGCATCCATGTTTGGCACTAGAAAACAGAAAAGACAGCAGAAGTCCTTTGCCAAGGTATGCAGACATTTCAAGAGGCTACCAATATAGAACCACAACACTAACCAAGTTGGAATCACCCTTGTTTTCTTCCCAGCCACCACACTATCTTTACCAAGTCCCAAGTGCCTCTCATCTAACGTAGTGAACGCAGCTGCCAAGATAAAAGGTCCTTGCCAGAAGTTAAATTTAGTGCCGGATCCATCAGCCCTGCTGACTTAACTTAAAGCAGATATCAACTCCTCTCAGAGGCTCCGTAGAATATCGACTCCTTTCTGTAATTCGAGCACACACCGCAATCTCCAGCTCTCCTTTCCTCCTCCTGCAGCACTGCCTGCACACAGGACAACGGACACCACTTGGTGAGGGAACCTGGCAAAGATGGTCCCTTAACCCCAAACTGTGCAGCACGGTGCCAGGCTGCCCAAAGGGGAAGACGGTTCCCTGCTCAGCCAGCTCCTGCAGCCTGCACAAGGCCTGCAAACTACTGCTGCTCAGTTCAGCCAAGCACAAGATTTACATGCATACAGTAATTTCTCAACACCATGGCATTTAAAGGTTGAAGCAATGAAATAACAAATAAGCTATCGTATTCACACAGCGATATAACAGAATTAACAGTGAACAACTGCAAATAAAGGCATCACTTTCTTAGATGTGTTTTGAAAGCATATCCCTCTGCACTTGTAATAGGGAATAACATCCCCAGCCATCTAATAATGCTTCGTTCTGTAGCAGAAGTGCAAAGCAAATTTTAACAGCATAGCCATTAGCATTCAGTTTTTTTGACAAGGAGTCACAAATTCTCTAAAAATTCTTTTCTTCTGCTTTCCTACATTGCTTCTATATCTTTCGCCCTCTTTAATTTATTTCTCTTTTAAATCTATGCACCAAAATGCTTCATTGACTTCAGCTTGATACACAGTGAGTGATACATAGAAATGTACTGCTGGACAAACTAATCCACTGCTACAGTATGCCATTCACTTGCTGGAAAACAAAATTAACTGAAGCTTATCAAGCAGCCCTATAAGCATATGAAAATTCAGCTCTGAAAGTACGCATCTTCAACTAACATAGAAGGAATTTCTAAAAAGGCAAGATATTTGATTTGCTGAATATTCTACTTGCAAATACTGAATTTACAATACTGCCCTCTTAAGTAATCTAATCTCCTTCTCCCACCAAGAAGGATCAAAATAAAGCATCAGTTCATGCAAAGACCAAACTCATAGCAAGTTTCAGGGAATGAATAGTTCCCTTTGGCTTAGGGTTTCTGTCCAGGAGAAATGCTGACATGCACAAACACAGTGCAAGTCAAAAGCACAGTCTTGACTTATGCTCATGTATACATAAATAATAACTGCACACCCACAGTCACTTTCATGGTAGTACTGCAGACTCAGTTTTGTCAATACTACAATTACATCACTAAAACAGGCACGCAGGAGAATCAAATCAGATGGGACAACCTCCAAGAAAGAAACACAGTAGAGCTCAGAATAAGAAAGCAAGAAAACAAATACAGAAGAGCAGGTACTAAGCAACAAGAGGTCATGCTTGAGCAGCCTCAGGCACTCGAGCATGCATCAAGGTCCATTATGGAGGGGAAAAGACTTCACCACCCCCACAGCAGCTATCTATAGGTACTCTTTGCCTCAAGTCTACAAGCACTCTGGCGTAAGTTTCAAAATAACAGAGAAATCTGTGTCAGCCTAAACTCTGTACCATCTGTAAAGCAGTCTACAGAAATACGAGCAACATTTACTGCAAATAATTAACATCCACTACAACAGCCTACAGAATTATCTGTCTTGCCCACTCGCTTTTTTGCTTGTTTTGCTAAAACCTGCTCATCCATCTTTCCAGAGCAGCCCACCTCCTCTGAATGGCTGTGGAAATCCCAGCATGTCAAGAGTTCCTGGTAGAACCACAGGAGAAAAACCACTGAAGAAAACCAAAGGGTGACACACAGCCCCTAGCAGGGAAACAGAAAATTTGGTGTCAGTGACAGTACACTACACATTCACCTCATCCGCATCTTCCAGGAGTCAAGGACAGGATGTAATCTGTATGGGTTTGTGAAGGCATGTAAAAACTGCACTTCCTAAAAGCTTCACATTGCACAGGTAAAGTAGATTACGGCAGTGGGATCAGAAATAAGTTGTTTTTTTGTGGTTTTGTTTGTTTGTTTTGTTTTTTTGTTCTTTTTTTTTTTTTTTTTTTAATGATAGACTTCTTTTTTCTTCCAAATTTATAATGGTAAAACTACACACGAAGCAACACACGAAGCAACCTTTTTGCAAGTCAGCTGGAAGAGAGTTACATTGTTTTCTGAGAAATGTAACTCCAGGTACAGTCTAATAACAAGCTGAAACATCAACCCCTGCATATGCTTTGTGAAGTTGCTGAAGCAGCTGATACTTGAGTTCTGCCTACACATCCACACAGACAGCCCTTAGCAGACAAAGGGCTGGGAATCTATCGTGGAAAAAATGACATCAGCACACAAGGTGAGCTCTCCAAGGCAGGGTGGCAACATCCCTTCATAAACATCATAAACATGAGAAGAAGCCTCTTCTATTTGTCAGAGCTCTGCTAACAAACCTTTCCAGAAAACAGAGCCTGATACCAGCAGCTGCACCTATGTCAATCCATTTCTGCCCTTCTGGGCTGACAGAGCACTGATCTCAGCATTCCTCTGTACCCTTTACTTTCACCTCATGGCCCAGATATCAATGCACTTCACACAGAACAAACTTGTGAGTTTAAGCTTCTGTATTTAGAAAAAGCCTCCAAAAACTCTGTGGCAACGTGTGCGTATTTAGTCCTTCCACTTTATGACAATGTTCCTAACCCCCAAGAAGGCATTCCTAACAGGAGAATGGCTTCAGCAGCTTTCCAAGCTGGAAAATCCCCTGGCCTAGCAGAAAGCTAGGACCAAAATCTCATCCCTACGGCCACTCCTTTCACACCTGTTCCACACTTGAGAAAGCAGTCCTTGGCAAAGCCAGGAGAGCCATGTGCCACAGTGCTGCCAATCGCCCTTGTTGCAAACCTGAGTCCCTGGAGCACAGTGAGCCACAGACTGTATGCTGCACAGCTGACAGCTCTAACCACGGGCCTCTGCTCCAGGTATCTTTGCTCAGGTTGAATAGAAACTGGGCTATTCTTACTTTACCAAACAAAATGCTTCTTTTCACATCAGCAATCAGGATGGAAGAATAAACCTTTCATTAGCAATGTCATCCTGCTGATGTGTACAAAAACAAGATATGCAATTACTTTATATTTCTTCTTTAGCTTGATGCACTGGGAAATTCCAAACAAGCATTACCCTTTTGTTTTCATCTACTTGGACTTCAATCAGCCCTTGAAAACAAAACACATAGCGATAAAGGGCCATAAAAAGCCATTAAATAATTTAATCATCTAAATTTACTATCTCCAGACATGTTGCTGCTGCCATATTTTCTGGCTTCCATTGCATGCTTTTCTGATTGTAATTCTAATATTTGCTATTTCTGTCTATGCTACATTGCAGAAATGATCATTCTTTTTTCAGTCTATTTACAAAGAAAAGCTCAACTTCAACAACATCTGGTTTACAAATAATCCACATTTTCACCCAATTTTCCAGCTGGAATAGTTGAAGCAAAAAGAGGTCAGGAAGCTCATTTAGTCAAGGTCAGAATCACCATCTGCATTGACACAAACATACAATGCATATATACATACGTACACGTACATACTGTATATAAAACAATAAAATATCCTTAGTTTCTCTTCATTGTTTTTTCTAAGTACTAAAATACTCTGCTTTCTGTATGTATGGAAGCTGTCAGTACAACTATTATTCTATTTGATATTACATAGTTGTAGCATAAATTCAGTATTATGAACTCCTGTATGCTATCCTATCTTATAGTGCTATCTTAAGCAACTAAGAAAACATTATTTCAGTATTTGGGTCCTATAGTTGAAAAGTAAATAATGGCACTTTGGAAGAGAGAAAAAAAGCAGACAAACTTCAAAGAACAGATCGCCATGATTATTTTACTTCAGAAAAAAAAAAGAAAGGAAGAAAATCCTGCAAGTCACATCTGCATTGGTTTAGTTTGGCAGTGGGAAAGAGACATCTTGCATCCTTTCAAATTCCCTCTGTCTTACCCAATTTCTTGCAACACAAAGTGAAACAGTGAATTCTAACACTGCCAACATCTGAGAAGGTATTTCTCACATTGACACAACTTTCTGTACTTCTGGAGAAATGGTTCACTTTTCAGTCTCCGTTTCTAGTTTCTAAGCTAAGAACTGCTAATCCTAACAAACTTGCAATCCTCAGTCCTACCAAAATAAGAAAATAAAAATTCTGGGAAAAAAAACAGAAGGGGCAGTGGTTGGGATCCCAGAACAAGCATTGTGGTTTGTGAAAGCCTGTATAATTAAAAGTAAATATAGCCTCAACCTCAGCAAAAAGAAATATAATCCACTAAGTTCTGTTCCCCCACTTAGCCCACCTTCACAGCAAGCAGCAGCCAATGGATGTGCAAGGTACAGATGCATGGACATGCTGCCAGCATCACCTGGCTCACAGGGGGAGGCCCACGCACAGCAGCAAACTACAACAACCCAAAACAATCCATTAAATCTACGCAGACAT